GGCCAGGTGTGTACATGGCTCATAACCTGTCCACTAGTAGTTACAGGTAAGACGAGGCCAGGTGTGTACATGGCTCATAACCTGTCCACTAGTAGTTACAGGTAAGACAAGGCCAGGTGTGTACATGGTTCATCACCTGTCCACTAGTAGTTACAGGTAAGACGAGGCCAGGTGTGTACATGATTCATCACCTGTCCACTAGTAGTTACAGGTAAGACGAGGCCAGGTGTGTACATGGTTCATCACCTGTCCACTAGTAGCTACAGGTAAGACGAGGCCAGGTGTGTACATGGTTCATCACCTGTCCACTAGTAGTTACAGGTAAGACAAGGCCAGGTGTGTACATGGTTCATCACCTGTCCACTAGTAGTTACAGGTAAGACGAGGCCAGGTGTGTACATGATTCATCACCTGTCCACTAGTAGTTACAGGTAAGACGAGGCCAGGTGTGTACATGGTTCATCACCTGTCCACTAGTAGCTACAGGTAAGACGAGGCCAGGTGTGTACATGGTTCATCACCTGTCCACTAGTAGTTACAGGTAAGACAAGGCCAGGTGTGTTCATGGCTCATCACCTGTCCACTAGACACTGTACACAATCATCAATAATGCACCAATTACAAAGCTACATGCGATGACAACATACTGAGGCAGTATATAACAAGCACACATGTACCTTGGTTAGTTGATGTAGGACACCAAGCTTAAAACATTTAAATATCCCAGCCTCTCAACTTGTTTTCCCTCCCCGGGTGATGACCTTTTATCATTTTGTAACGTGTTCAGATGCAGCATCGTTATCATTCCGTTTTCTCATGACCAAATTTCACCCCTGGACTTTATCTGTTCGTTTTTGACATGTGATAAATGACTTGTGCAAGACTGCAATGTTATCCTTCTTTTTGTGTGTGAATACAGATCTAGTGATTATGTAATGGATGTTCTGTGGTTTAACTCCTCTATTGGAAACTTGTACAAGATAACTATATAAGATGTCAAGCGTGACAACATGTCTGACTGCGGTAATGTATCCATGGTTAGGTATTACTTTCAGCTGTACATCAGCAGTAAATATACATTTACACGCTGATCAGGAAGTAGTAGGCCTACTACTTAACATTACTCCAACAGGTGACTTTAGGTGAATGTTAGAAAATATATATTTTTATAGTATGTTAACAGCCAGTTAATGCAAGGAAGAGAAAATGACACTTCAATGAAGTGTGGTCTAGTTATATTCTCCCATAATACAACCTAATTACAGCAATAGGTTTTGCACAGGTCAAAATTATCTAAAGTATACGGATATCAGTCAGGTTTTAAATTCTGTGTATTTGGGACAAAAGTTCTGTGACAACCTGTATTGAGTTTGTAGATTACATTTACATATTATAATTATATAATGTGATTCTTTGTCTAACATATCTCAATACCATCAATTCAGTATCATACTGTACATGTCTGAATGTCATCAATTCAGTATTATACTGTACATGCCTGAATGCCATCAAGCCAGTCTTATACTGTACATGTCTGAATGTCATCAAGTCAGTATTATACTGTACATGTCTGAATGTCATCAAGTCAGTATTATACTGCACATGTCAGAATGTCATCAAGTCAGTATTATACTGTACATGTCAGAATGTCATCAAGTCAGTATTATACTGTACATGTCTGAATGTCACCAAGTCAGTATTATAGTTACAGGTAAGACAAGGCCAGGTGTGTACATGGCTCATAATCTGTCCACTAGTAGTTACAGGTTATGAGCCATGTAAATACTGACTTGATGCCATTCAGACATTTACAGTATAATACTGCATTGGTGACATTCAGACGTGTACAGTATAATACAGAATTGATGACATTCAGACATGCACAGTATAATACTGTATCGATGACATTCAGACATGTAAAGTATAATACTGACTTGATGACATCAATTCAGTATTATACTGTACATGTCTGAATGCCATCAATACAGTATTATACTGTACATGTCTGAATGTCACCAATACAGTATTATACTGTACATGTCTGAATGTCATCAATTCAGTATTATACTGTACATGTCTGAATGTCATCAATTCAGTATTATACTGTACATGTCTGAATGTCATCAATTCAGTATTATACTGTACATGTCTGAATGTCATCAATTCAGTATTATACTGTACATGTCTGAATGTCATCAATTCAGTATTATACTGTACATGTCTGAATGTCATCAATTCAGTATTATACTGTACATGTCTGAATGTCATCAATTCAGTATTATACTGTACATGTCTGAATGTCATCAATTCAGTATTATACTGTACATGTCTGAATGTCATCAATTCAGTATTATACTGTACATGTCTGAATGTCATCAATTCAGTATTATACTGTACATGTCTGAATGTCATCAATTCAGTATTATACTGTACATGTCTGAATGTCATCAATTCAGTATTATACTGTACATGTCTGAATGTCATCAATTCAGTATTATACTGTACATGTCTGAATGTCATCAATTCAGTATTATACTGTACATGTCTGAATGTCATCAATTCAGTATTATACTGTACATGTCTGAATGTCATCAATTCAGTATTATACTGTACATGTCTGAATGTCATCAATTCAGTATTATACTGTACATGTCTGAATGTCATCAATTCAGTATTATACTGTACATGTCTGAATGTCATCAATTCAGTATTATACTGTACATGTCTGAATGTCATCAATTCAGTATTATACTGTACATGTCTGAATGTCATCAATTCAGTATTATACTGTACATGTCTGAATGTCATCAATTCAGTATTATACTGTACATGTCTGAATGTCATCAATTCAGTATTATACTGTACATGTCTGAATGTCATCAATTCAGTATTATACTGTACATGTCTGAATGTCATCAATTCAGTATTATACTGTACATGTCTGAATGTCATCAATTCAGTATTATACTGTACATGTCTGAATGTCATCAATTCAGTATTATACTGTACATGTCTGAATGTCATCAATTCAGTATTATACTGTACATGTCTGAATGTCATCAATTCAGTATTATACTGTACATGTCTGAATGTCATCAATTCAGTATTATACTGTACATGTCTGAATGTCATCAATTCAGTATTATACTGTACATGTCTGAATGTCATCAATTCAGTATTATACTGTACATGTCTGAATGTCATCAATTCAGTATTATACTGTACATGTCTGAATGTCATCAATTCAGTATTATACTGTACATGTCTGAATGTCATCAATTCAGTATTATACTGTACATGTCTGAATGTCATCAATTCAGTATTATACTGTACATGTCTGAATGTCATCAATTCAGTATTATACTGTACATGTCTGAATGTCATCAATTCAGTATTATACTGTACATGTCTGAATGTCATCAATTCAGTATTATACTGTACATGTCTGAATGTCATCAATTCAGTATTATACTGTACATGTCTGAATGTCATCAATTCAGTATTATACTGTACATGTCTGAATGTCATCAATTCAGTATTATACTGTACATGTCTGAATGTCATCAATTCAGTATTATACTGTACATGTCTGAATGTCATCAATTCAGTATTATACTGTACATGTCTGAATGTCATCAATTCAGTATTATACTGTACATGTCTGAATGTCATCAATTCAGTATTATACTGTACATGTCTGAATGTCATCAATTCAGTATTATACTGTACATGTCTGAATGTCATCAATTCAGTATTATACTGTACATGTCTGAATGTCATCAATTCAGTATTATACTGTACATGTCTGAATGTCATCAATTCAGTATTATACTGTACATGTCTGAATGTCATCAATTCAGTATTATACTGTACATGTCTGAATGTCATCAATTCAGTATTATACTGTACATGTCTGAATGTCATCAATTCAGTATTATACTGTACATGTCTGAATGTCATCAATTCAGTATTATACTGTACATGTCTGAATGTCATCAATTCAGTATTATACTGTACATGTCTGAATGTCATCAATTCAGTATTATACTGTACATGTCTGAATGTCATCAATTCAGTATTATACTGTACATGTCTGAATGTCATCAATTCAGTATTATACTGTACATGTCTGAATGTCACCAATACAGTATTATACTGTACATGTCTGAATGTCATCAATTCAGTATCATACTGTACATGTCTGCATTGTTTAACATTAAATTTTTAAAAGGTGCATTAATTTTTCACAATTTTAGTAGTTACAGCTGAATTACAAATATTTATGCAGAAAATTTTGGTTTGCAAGCATAAAATGGTTAAAAGGTTATAAGCATTCTGGTAGAAAAGTACATTATTTCCTGAATAGCAATATCTGAGCTAAACTACTACCCATGGCCATGGCCACAATATGCTACCATAAACTACTACCCACGGCCATGGCTACAATAGGCTACCCTAAACTACTACCCACGGCCATGGCTACAATAGGCTACAGTACACTGCTACCCATGGCCATGGCTACCGTACACTACTACCCATTGCCATGGCTACAATAGGCTACCGTACACTGCTACCCATGGCCATGGCTACAATAGGCTACCGTAAACTACTACCCATGGCCATGGCTACAATATGCTACCGTAAACTACTACCCATGTTAGCCATGGCTACAATATGCTACCGTAAACTACTACCCATGGCCAGGGCTACAATATGCTACTGTACACTGCTACCCATGGCCATGGCTACAATATGCTACTGTACACTGCTACCTTACAAACACATGACTAAGATGCACTTTATTGAGTGTTTTTTTTTGGTACCTAAATTTCCAAACAGTCTGTTACTTTACAAATTGGGAAAAGATAACATTAGTTTCATTCAAATTAGGAAGATATTCCTGATTTGGGAAAATATAGAACGTTTTTGCTAGGGGAAGCAGCCTGTATTCCGCTGTGAAACCAAGTAAAAATTTACTGTTTGTACAGTATAACACTTACATGCTGTAGCTGAGTCTGAAGAATCTGCACCTGCTGTGCCAGTTGTGCTGCTTCCTCACTGTAATTGTGTGCTGTAAGATGCTGTAACTGCACTGACAGCTGCTGTATAACTTCATCCCTCTTGTGTACAGCATACTCCAGCTCCTGTAAAACCAAAATACAGCATTCACTATGTGGTGGAGGATTCCAAGAACAAACAAAATACAGCATTCACTATAAAGTTGAGGATTGACTCAAAAGCAAGAGATTTTGAAAAGTAATATTCCAGAAAGTCATTGTCTCATTAAATGCATACATTAAATAATTGTTACAGATGTATTTCTTGTCATTCAAAACATTTTTTATAGTAATCTTAGATGTTGACAAATCATGACAAATTAACAAGATTGAATCTGATTTTTTATATCGGATGCAGCAGTAATTTCTATAGGTTTAAATTTTTGGACCAGTTAATCCTGGACTCACTAGTTTTGAAAAGAGTGAGTCCAAAACAAAATTTGGACTCACAAAATGCTTGCACCCATCGCATCTTACGTAATCACATAAATTTTGACAGAGAAGCCATGGTTTCACATAGGATAAAATAATAATATTGCTTCATTTTTTCAATTTTTTAATACTTTGATTTTATTTAATGTGTTTTTGTCTTTTTTTTTAATGCAATAAATGTCCCTAATGATGTCATAATGAGCATCACACGTATCAAAGTATATAATATTTCATACTCTGAAGCATCTTGTAATATTATTTTCATGTCAGTTTTAAATCATGTCTCTAGAATAAATATTATCACTCTAGTTTTTGTTCTGTCTTCGTAGTTTGTCTTTCAATCTCTAAAAACCATGAGAAATAATAACAATTAGAAGTTACATGTTACATTTTTAGTAGTTAATTTTCATTACTTTTCATTTTTCATTATTTTTATAGTTCATTCAGTTACGTGAGCATCAATTGTGTACGTATTGATGGTCGAGTAGATTGATAGAAAATGAAGTCCAACCTCATAATAATTTCATTATTAACAATAAGTGAAAATTCAGAATCACACTCGGTACCCTTCGACTATCTTGCATAAATAGTATAAATACTCTCTTTAAAACATATTCTTAATTACAATTTTATGAAAATCAAATTCTAATACTTTTGTACATTTATTAACAATATATAGTCTTCCTAGTAAGTTAAAATATTAATATAACTGACATTGAAGTTATCTAATGACATCAGTAGTTCAGTCAAATTCCCTCACAATATATATTCTCTCATGAAAAGCACTGGTATATATCTAGTTTCTGTTTCTTGTTCAAATTCATCATCAGAGATGAATCAGGATGTAGTAATTTAACCCCAGTTACGTGAGCATCAATTGTGTTGTGTTGATGGTTGAGTAGATTGATAGAAAATGAAGTCCAAATATCACAAAATTACCAACAATTTGTGTCTCTTAGGAAATACAAACATAATAAAAAATAAATAAGTGATGAACAAAATATTTAATTGACAGAAAAAATAAGGAAACTGAAGAAATCTTTATGAAAGCCTCATAGATGTTATTGGGGTTTTTTATGCCCCCGTAATAAAATGGGGGGGGGGGGGGGGGGGGGGGGNTAGCAACTTCATTCTTTGACAGATATTGGTCAAACTTTATACAAAGGTCAAGTATGAGTATACTTCGGACATCGTTGTGTTTCAGGGATCCAAGGTCAAGGCCAAGGTCACTGTTGCTATATATAGAAAATTTCAATATTTTTTACAGCTATCACTACCATGCTGAAAGTCAACCACATGCCTCTAGTTAACTGTCACAAGTTGTGACTTAGTCCCGGGGTATTAATTAATAAGCAACAGTCACTTATAATAGGCCTATTTTCACACTTACATAGGTCAGTTTACCTGTTCACTCTTTGCAATGTTTATTAAGGCTTGCTTGACTTTCCCTGAGCCGGCCGTACTTCATGTATAGCTACACTATACCTGTGACTGCATGAACATTAGAATTATTTATGGTCTAGTAATTCTTGAAATTCTTTTATCTGTTGATATGGATCATACTCAGACACATACATGTATTGCAAATCTAAAAAAAAATCCTTCCACGGGCAATTATCCATTTAATGATACAAATTGGAAGAAAAATTAAAGCTATTTGTCATACAATAACTATTTGAGATTGGAATTTTTTCCAAATTCTTTGTTGCTGTGACAGATATGTACTGCCTGTCTCCCACTTTTTACAGCTGTCATTTCTTTTTTTTTTAAATATTCCATTCTTCAAGAATTAAATAGATAATGAAAAAGAACACAAGTGTATGATTGTCTGCGCTTGAAAATACATGTAACACCCCAGATCAGATTGTTATTTTCGGCATATACCCCATTACAAAATAATTGCTAATCAATGATTGATTTAATATAAACCTCAACTTTACTAAACAAAGAATGAGATTTGGGCATATGGCACTGATAAAAATCACCATCACCAGAACACCCTCCTATGAATCATCCGAACCCCCTCCCTGAGTGGTTAGACTTGGGTCGGTTCTAAATATAGATTGTTTGTGTATTGTCAACATGAGTTGATAGTCGACGTTATATATATCATGTTTGTTGGTGAAATATAGAACCGTGAACATCACAATCGATGGAAAATTAATCAGCAATTGCATTGTATGTCATATGATGAAAGAAATCGAATAAATGAGAACAGCTTTCGCTTTCGAGTGACGTTTCGCATCTTTGTTGAGGCGCGCAACAACTCCACACACAGCAGGTCGCCGGCATTAAAAATTTAGAAGCTATATTGATATCAGGAGAAGAATGACTGTCTGTGATAATATTTACCTTCTCTCTGTCCATCTGGACGTGTCTACTTCTGTCGTCGCCTTCCATGTTGCCTTATGGTATGTTTACGTGTCATCTGAGTCTTGGCGGGGTGACTTCAGCGGCCATGATTATTATGGTTATTACCACCAGACGGCTCTATTGAGGAGTTGACTAAACAACGGATCCCATAATGTTGACTTAATTTCCGGAAATTGTGTGATATCACCATTAATCTGAATATTCTATCTCTATTTTTGTATAATCCACATGCAAAAGATATACATTTAAATATTTCATTCAAAGATTTTTTTATAATTTAAAATAACAGACGTGTCTTAACGTCACTCACAAATTGTGATGGGGGGGGGGGGGGGGGGGGGGGGGAGAGTCAGACGTATACATATTACAAAGGAAAGCATCTATAGCCCTAACTCCGGCTTGGGTGGGGGAGTGGGCTGTATACTGTACCTCCTCTACTACGTGGGTGAGGAGGGGGCTGTATACTGCACCTCCTCTACTAAGTGGGTGAGGAGGGGGCTGTATACTGCACCTCCTCTACTACGTGGGTGGGGGAGGGGGCTGTATACTGCACCTCCTCTACTAAGTGGGCGGGGGAGGGGGCTGTATACTGCACCTCCTCTACTACTTGGGTGGGGGAGGGACTGTTCACTGCACCTCCCCTATTAAGTGGGTGGGGGAAGGGGCTGTATACTGCACCTCCTCTACTAAGTGGGTTTCGAGGAGGGGGCTGTATACTGCACCTCCTCTACTAAGTGGGCGGGGGAGGGGGATGTATACTGCACCTCCTCTACTAAGTGGGTGGGGGAAGGGGCTGTATACTGCACCTCCATTACTAAGTGGGTGAGGAAGGGGCTGTATACTGCACCTCCTTTACTAAGTGGGTGGGGAGGGAGCTGTATACTGCACCTCCTCTACTACGTGGGTTAGGGAGGGGGCTGTATACTGCACCTCCTCTACTAAGTGAGTGAGGAAGGGGGCTGAATACTGCACCTCCTCTACCAAGTGGGTGGGGGAGAGGGCTGTATACTGCACCTCCTCTACCAAGTGGGTGGGGGAGAGGGCTGTATACTGCACCTCCTCTACTACGTGGGTTAGGGAGGGGGCTGTATATTGCACCTCCTCTACTAAGTGGGTGGGGTAGGGGGCTGTATACTGCACCTCCTCTACTACGTGGATTAGGGAGGGGACTGTATACTGCACCTCCTCTACTAAGTGGGTGTGGAAGGGGGCTGTATACTGCACCTCCTCTACTAAGTGGGTGGGGGAGGAGGCTGTATACTGCACCTCCTCTACTACGTGGGTTAGGGAGGGGACTGTATACTGCACCTCCTCTACTAAGTGGGTGGTTGGGGGGGGCTTTTTACTGTTCCTCCTCTACTACGTTGGCGGGGGAGGGGGCTGTATACTGCACCTCCTCTACTAAGTGGGTGAGGAAGGGGGCTGAATACTGCACCTCCTCTACCAAGTGGGTGGGGGAAGAGGCTGTATACTGCACCTCCTCTACTAAGTGGGCGGTGGAGGGGGCTGTATACTGCACCTCCTCTACTAAGTGAGGGAGGAAGGGGGCTGAATACTGCACCTCCTCTACCAAGTGGGTGGGGGAGGGGACTGTATACTGTATCTCCTCTACTACGTGGGTTAGGGAGGGGGCTGTATACTGCACCTCCTCTACTAAGTGGGTTGGGGAGGGGGCTGTATACTGCACCTCCTCTACTACGTGGATTAGGGAGGGGACTGTATACTGCACCTCCTCTACTAAGTGGGTGTGGAAGGGGGCTGTATACTGCACCTCCTCTACTAAGTGGGTGGGGGAGGGGGCTGTTTACTGCACCTCCTCTACTACGTGGGTTAGGGAGGGGACTGTATACTGCACCTCCTCTACTAAGTGGGTGTGGAAGGGGGCTGTATACTGCCCCTCCTCTACTAAGTGGGTGGGGGAGGGGGCTGTATACTGCACCTCCTCTACTACGTGGGTTAGGGAGGGGGCTGTATACTGCACCTCCTCTACTAAGTGGGTGAGGAAGGGGGCTGAATACTGCACCTCCTCTACTAAGTGGGTCGGGGAGGGGGCTGTATACTGCACCTCTACTAAGTGATTGTAAAGGGGATTTGTCGGGAGGGGGTAAAAAAAGAAAGTGAAAGCACGGAATAAATAGATGTAAAACCATTAAGTTTTTCACGTATCCTTTGGCAGAATGAATATAAAACCTTTATTTTTACTTCTAGTAAACTTGGGTGAGCTTAGTTCTATTTGTTAGTTAAAGCAAATGCATCCATCCAATTATGTTATCTGTATATCTTATTACTTACCCTACCGTCTACGTATTTTCTTGTAACACAGCTTTTCCTTTTTAGACCTTGGGACCACTGACGAGAATGGACAAAATGACGATATGGTGCCGTTAAACGTTTAACCTATTTAGCTTTCTGATACAACAAACTGAATTTTAAAATAGGCGTTTGCTTTATTTCTATTTCTAGTGATGATTCTTTAGCTAATTATCTATATTTCCAGGAAGAATACCTTGCAACAAACTTCAACAGTTACTATCTCAGAAAGCCATCTGAAGGAGCCGTCCTCTACCGGAAGTAGGGGAACTTGGATTTGAATTGGCGTCTGAAAAATCAATTAAACACTATCCTCAACACCGAACAACTGCTGTAAATCTCATTGTATATTCGAGAGTTGCCTCCCGTTAAACGAGGGTCCTACGCCGATCGTTGTATGATCTTCCCATATGATTCGTATCAAATTAATAAACATTATGTTTCGGGTAAACTAGTGTATGTTAATGTGAAGGTTTAACTTATGAATTAGTTGTTTTAATTGAGGGGGGGGGGGGGGGGGGTCCAAAATATGTGTGTAATTCGTTTGGTTTGATTTGACTTTGTTTAAAACGTTCTATAAACAGCTATGGCAATTTAAGGGGGTGTACCGCTATGTGTGTGATTTATACGTTTATGTGTGTTAGTGTCGGTAGGTTAGTGTTTTGATGTCGACAATTTAAGGGTGTACCGCCATGTGTGTGATTTATACGTTTATGTGTGTAAGTGTCGGTATGTTAGTGTTTTGATGTCGACAATTTAAGGGTGTACCGCCATGTGTGTGATTTATACGTTTATGTGTGTAAGTGTCGGTAGGTTAGTGTTTTGATGTCGACAATTTAAGGGTGTACCGCCATGTGTGTGATTTATACGTTTATGTGTGTAAGTGTCGGTAGGTTAGTGTTTTGATGTCGACAATTTAAGGGTGTACCGCCATGTGTGTGATTTATACGTTTATGTGTGTAAGTGTCGGTAGGTTAGTGTTTTGATGTCGACAATTTAAGGGTGTACCGCCATGTGTGTGATTTATACGTTTATGTGTGTAAGTGTCGGTAGGTTAGTGTTTTGATGTCGACAATTTAAGGGTGTACCGCCATGTGTGTGATTTATACGTTTATGTGTGTAAGTGTCGGTAGGTTAGTGTTTTGATGTCGACAATTTAAGGGTGTACCGCCATGTGTGTGATTTATACGTTTATGTGTGTAAGTGTCGGTAGGTTAGTGTTTTGATGTCGACAATTTAAGGGTGTACCGCCATGTGTGTGATTTATACGTTTATGTGTGTAAGTGTCGGTAGGTTAGTGTTTTGATGTCGACAATTTAAGGGTGTACCGCCATGTGTGTGATTTATACGTTTATGTGTGTAAGTGTCGGTAGGTTAGTGTTTTGATGTCGACAATTTAAGGGTGTACCGCCATGTGTGTGATTTATACGTTTATGTGTGTAAGTGTCGGTAGGTTAGTGTTTTGATGTCGACAATTTAAGGGTGTACCGCCATGTGTGTGATTTATACGTTTATGTGTGTACATTTGTAAGTGTCGGTATGTTAGTGTTTTGATGTCGACAATTTAAGGGTGTACCGCCATGTGTGTGATTTATACGGTTATGTGTGTAAGTGTCGGTAGGTTAGTGTTTTGATGTCGACAATTTAAGGGTGTACCGCCATGTGTGTGATTTATACGTTTATGTGTGTAAGTGTCGGTATGTTAGTGTTTTGATGTCGACAATTTAAGGGTGTACCGCCATGTGTGTGATTTATACATTTATGTGTGTAAGTGTCGGTATGCTAGTGTTTTGATGTCGACAATTTAAGGGTGTACCGCCATGTGTGTGATTTATACATTTATGTGTGTAAGTGTCGGTATGTTAGTAGTGTTTTGATGTCGACAATTTAAGGGTATACCGCCATGTGTGTGATTTATACGTTTTTGTGTGTAAGTGTCGGTATGTTAGTGTTTTGATGTCGACAATTTAAGGGTGTACTGTCATGTGTGTGATTTATACGTTTATGTGTGTAAGTGTCGGTATGTTTGTGTTTTGATGTCGACAATTTAAGGGTGTACTGTCATGTGTGTGATTTATACGTTTATGTGTGTAAGTGTCGGTGTGTTAGTGTTTTGATGTCGACAATTTAAAGGTGTACTGTCATGTGTGTGATTTATACGTTTATACCGCCATGGGTGTGATTTATACGTTTATGTGTGTTAGTGTCGGTAGGTTAGTGTTTTGACGTCGACAATAGAGTGTTACCTCATTGATACTTAATGCGGAAGGCACTCAGCACAGTATTCCGCTTGAATACGTTTATGTGTGTAAGTGTCGGTAGGTTAGTGTTTTGATGTCGACAATAGAGTGTTACCTCATTGAAACTTAATGCGGAAGGCACTCAGCACAGTATTCCGCTTGATCACACTGACAACAGGTTAGATAACCCTAAATGCTGAGCGGTAAATAGGTAATATAAACCTAATGGTAAGACTTTGGTATTCGTATCCTCACATACATCTAAACATTTCGATCGCTCGAGGTAACAGACGCCTTTTCACTGTTACCATTACGAGGGTACCAGGCTGTTGGCCATTCTACAATATTAAAACCTCCATGGCGGCTGTTTCGGTTAAGCTATGTGGTTCCGTAGGTCGCGAAGAGCCTTTATGCCTCTGTATGAGTAAAAATAATGATAAAAAGGAAAACTAATAATGAGAGACTAATCCACGCTGACAAAGTTTATTACAAAGCTAACGAGTCGGTAAATACCAAGAAGCGTCCGAGATGAAGTTGATT